CATCATCATCATCATCATCATCATCAATCATCATCATCATCATCATCATCATCATCATCATCATCATCATCATCATCATCATCATCATCAGCATCATCATCATCATCATCATCATCATCATCATCATCATCATCATCATCATCATCATCATCATCATCATCATCATCATCATCATCATCATCATCATCATCATCATCATCATCATCATCATCATCATCATCATCATCATCAACATCCTCAACATCCTCATCCTCATCCTCATCCTCATCCTCATCCTCATCCTACTCCTCATCCTCATCCTCATCCTCATCCTCATCCTCCTTCCCGCTCCTCTCCCCCCTCCTGCTCCCTCTCCCCCGACAGGAAAACCTGGAGAGGGGGCGAAGAAGATGGGGAGGGGGAGGTGGGGAGGAGGTGACTAGGCGATTCAGGGCCTTGGAGCAGGCTCCATCGCGACGCGCGACAAGGGAGGGCGGACCATCCCGGCTCTAGAGGGCGCACGAGTCCGCGCCGGAGCGCCATCTGGCATCCGCCGATACCCCAGAAGCAGGGGAGGCCGAGGCCAAAGACAGGGACGCCCCAAAACCTGGCCGCAGAACCGGATCGGCCACCGAAGCACGTCGGATCGGCAGAGATCAGCGGGCAGATCGCGGAGCATCACGATCGACGCCCCGCGGCCCGAGCCGAGGCCCCCACGGGAGAACCCAGACCGCAGCGGGAGATCGGAGTCAAGCCGAGTCGAGATCGACCTCGTCGAAAGCGAATCGACTCGAATCGGCCGAACCGACATGGCTCTCGAGTCAGGCGCAAGGGAGAGGATAACTATCAGAAGAGAAAAAACATAAACCTGATAACTTCCAGAGGCCCGCGCGGATTTCTTGGACTGGCGCTGGATCCCCTCCCTGCGTGCGGAGGGGCGAAGTTGGGAGGGACGGGCTCAGGGGGGGGACACATCGACCTCACATCGGCGATGCGTCGCCGATAGATCGGCGACAGGCCCCTAGTAGCAAATCCGCACGTTCCTGGGCGGGGTGGGCTGTCGTGCCTCCATCGGGGGCGCGCAAACGTGGATTAGAGATCCATGGATTTGGCGCGCGGTCGCCAAATCCATGGATCGGGGGAGGTGCCCTCCCCAAAGTGCGGCCTCGCTCGGCGGTGGAAATCGCGACTCCCCATGGCAACGGGACCCGTCACTAATCCACGCCCCCTTAATCCGTGTTTGCGATCGCCTGACCCTCTATCGGCAATCATAGGGCGACGACATCTATACATATCCACTGCTCCCTGGCGAGGCCCATCCTGAACCCAGCAGCTGTGTATACGCTGCGCCCTCCTGGCGTGGCCAGGAGGGCGTATGCACAACTCCTGGATTCAGGATGGGCCTGGCCAGGGAGCAGTGGATATGTATAGATTTCGTCGCCCGAAATCAATGGGCGGTTGGGAGTCGATGCACTCCCCCTGGAGTCTCCCCCCTGACGTTGCCCCTGACCTCTGCGACGCCCGACTCGGGCCTCCTGGCGGCCGCTCGGGCCGATCCACGCGCACCCAGCACGCTCTCGCCAGGCGCAGCTGTTGGGAAGCATCCAGAGGATGGAAAAACGCTGGGCACCGACGAAGACGCCCGAAAACCTCCAACCTCGAGCCCATCTCCCCCGCAGGTTGCCCCCGACCATCCTGGAGGCCTGCCTGAGGTTGGGGAAGCCCAGGGCGCTGCGCGGCGCATCCCCCGCGCCTCCGAGGTGTAGACGCACTCCAGGCTTGGGCCGGAATCGCACTCTGGGCTCAACTGCCTGCGGGAGGCGCCGGGGGCGACGGCGACGGCGACCGCGGCCGTGACCGCGACGACGACGACAACGACGACGGCGACAACAACCACCACGGCGAAGACCAAGGTGACCACTAAGATCGCTACCGCGTCGCCGAGCACGAACGCGACCACGACCGCGATCGCGACGACCATCGAAACGACGACGACGACGACGACGACGACGACGACAAGGATGATCACCTCGACGAGAGGAGGAGGAGGAGGAGGAGGAGGAGGAGGAGGAGGAGGAGGAGGAGGAGGAGGAGGAGGAGGAGGAGGAGGAGGAGGAGGAGGAGGAGGAGGAGGAGGAGGAGGAGGAGGGGAGGAGGAGGAGGAGGAGGAGGAGGAGGAGGAGGACCTCTCCGACGACGACGCGCCGCTCTGTGGGCCGCCGCGCCGCCCCCGCGCCGCGCCTCGGCGGCACGCTCGGGGTGCTCGGGCTGGACTCCACGCGCCCCGGCGCCTGCTCCGCGCCACGGGCGGGGGAAGGGGGGGGGGCCTGCGGCTCGCAGGGCTCTGAGGCTGGGCTCCTGGCAGAATACATTAATACATCGGTTTTGTTTAAAACAAAAAATAATTGTTTATATATATATATATATATTAAATAAAACAAACAAGAAACAAAAAAAACAAAACAAAAAAAAACAAAAAAAAAAAAAAAAAAAAAAAAAAAAAAACATGATGTCTGGTACATGATGAATGTATGGATAAATGTATGCATGAACTCATCGTTGTGTTTTGAATACTAAATCCCTGCATTTCTGATACATTTGATCCGCACGCGGAGCACGTATCAACGACGGCACTGGAAGCAGAGGCAGCCAGCGACGGGACGGCGACGGCGACTGTCGACCGGCGACCGGCGACCGGCGACGGCGAGGCGTCCCCAGGCTGGCAAGCCTCCGAGGACCGACGAGGAGCCCGAGAGCGCAACAGGGAGAGGGGGGCCTCCAGGGGACGCCTCCGGAACATGCCCCGCTCGGGCGTTGGCAGAACTGGGTCTAGTGGAACCTGGTTTAGTACAGTCGGGGGCTTGACCTAAGGAACCCAAACTAATGCTCGAGGCCCCTCTTTTCCATGAGTTAAGCTTCGATTTCCGATCGAAAACACAAGGAAAACCTGAGGCAGGCTGCGAAACACTTAAGGAACGCGGAGCCCCTCCCCAAGGAAAAGGGTTCCTTCTTCAAGGCCCCGACTGTATCTGTACCGTGGGCGCCCCCCCGTCCCACTTCCACGAACCGGAACTGCCGTCACCCGAAAAGCACCAGTGACGGCAAACCTGGTTTGGTGGATCTGGCCCATTGGGGGGCCCCAGGGCCCTACCACTGAGCGGGTCCCATCACCCGGGTCCTTGCTATACCCGACTCCATGGGACGCCTCTGCTTATACGATCGAGCGAGAAAATCGATATCGCTCGAGCTTACATCGAGATATCCGTCGAGATATCGTTCGAAGCAGCCAAGATATCGAGATATCGTTCGAGATATCGAGCGGGACGACAGCCGGTGCCCCTCCACCCGCCACGCGTGCGGCCTCCTGCTCCCCGGGTCGCGCACGGCAGAGGCTCGTGCCGTGCCGACTTCGGCGCTGGTCTCTGGCACCGCGGGGAGCCGTTCCACCCGGATGAAGGAGCCCTGGGACGCACAAATAAATACACACAAGATCAAACAATCCCCATATATATTTTCCTACATGTTCTTAACTTTTGTTTTCCCCACCACTTCCCATATTTTCCCATATTTTCTGGGGAGTCGGCGAGTAATTGTGCCTGTGTGTTTCTTTCCCTCCTGACTTGAACGATTCTGGGTCGCGCGAGAAGCTCAACGTTGAACGCCGCTGGCGGGGTCGCCGCCGGTCGACACGACATGAACCTACCCGAGCATAGTTTATCCGAGCCCATCCCCAGCGGCGTAGCCTGGGCCCCACTGGCCGACTTACCCCCCTAGATGGGGATATAGGCCGTGCTCTTCGGGTTTCGAGGGGTGTATCCCCAACTGGGGTGGTAATTTGGTGGGGGTCTCGAAGGGGATGAGGATGGGGATGGGGGTCGGATCCGCCAGCCCCCTTGCGGGGCCACCAGGCTGTAGGGCCAGGGTTTGCTGTTCCCTGCACCAGTTCCAGTTTCCAGTTTCCATTGTTTTAGTTATGTTTCTTGCTTCTTACTGTTCCTTGTTGTAGACCGCGCGAGGGGCGGGAGCCGCAAACCGCCAGTTTTACCACGCCCAGATCGCGTGCTCAGAAGTTCTGGAGGGGTCGAAATTGGCACCCCTCGCGCAGATCGGCGGGGTCAAGGTCCAAAAACACAAGGGGGTGCCACAATTCTAAAATGAGGTGCCACCCCTCACGCAGATCGGCGGGGTCAGGGTCCAAAAACATGAGGGATTTGCCACATTTCTGAAAGTCCGTGGCACTCCTCCTGCAGATCGGCGGGGTCAGGGTCCAAAAACACAAGGTATTTGCCACATTACTAAAATTCGGTGGCACCCTTCGCGCAGATCGGCGGGAGCACGGTAAAAAAACACAAGAGAGTTGGCACATGTCTGAAATTCGGTGGCACCCCTCACGCAGATCGGCGGGGTCAGGGTCGAAAAACACAAGGGGTTTGCCACATGTCTGACAATCGGTGGCACCCCTCACGCAGATCGGCGGGGTAACGGTCAAAAATATAAGGGATTTGATGCATTTCTGAAATCCAGTGGCACCCCTCACGCGGATTGGCGGGGTCAGGGTCCAACAACACAAGGGATTTGCCACATTTCTGAAATTCGGTGACATTCCTCCTGCAAATCGGCGGGTCAGGGTCGACGAACACATGGGATTTGCCATACGTCTTGAACTTCGGTGGCGCTCCTCATGCAGAACGATGGGGTCAGGATCAAAAAACACATGTGATCTGCAGCATTTCAATATTTCGTAGAAAACAGTTTTGCATAGCACACGCAAGCAAGCTCGAAATGCAACACCGAATTCTACAATATCAGAATCTCAATTTGTCTTGCCGATTACTCATCGCCTTCGTGTGAAGTCCCGATGCTGCTTCACGGCGGTGCCGAGGCCTGATGATTTAGCTCTTGCACAGCCCATTATCCGAGAGAAGGGGCCGGCGGCAGGGGGCGAAGCCCTTACGGATAAACGATACTGATTACCGTACCTTCGCGCACCGCGCTCCACGATGCGCGACGCACGGCCATGCTCTCGCCCTCGCGCGGCCTCCCTGGAGGAGGAGGAGGAGGAGGAGGAGGAGGAGGAGGAGGAGGAGGAGGAGGAGGAGGAGGAGGAGGAGGAGGAGAGCGCGACGCGCGAAGGGCGTCTGCCTCCGCGGCCCTGCGGGCGACCTGCAGTGTGGGGGGCCCGACCACGAGAAGCCCTCCACAAGAAGCCCGGCCCTGAGACCCCAGGACGTCCACTGATATCTTGTGCAGGAGCATCACGCTTGCCATGGCAGAACCATGGAAACCCGAGAGAGGGAGGAGGAGGAGGAGGAGGAGGAGGAGGAGGAGGAGGAGGAGGAGGAGGAGGAGGAGGGTGGCCTTGCCTCCCGAACCCGGGGCACCCTGGAAGCAAGCAGGGCGCCTCTTGGCTATGGGCCCCCACTGTACCCCCGCGCCCCCGCGGGCGACCTACCTTCCAATGGCCTCTAAGGGGGACCGCCGAGAGGGACCGCCGGAGGACCTCCGGGGGACCCTCCGGAGGCGCACCGCGCGCGCGCGCGCCGCCAGGAGAGGCCACCATCGGGGAGACGTAAGACTCGGGTAACGGGGGACTCGGGTTGGCCTGACGGGGCCATGATTAAAAATGGCGAGACCCAATATGAAATTTGACGCGAGCTCCCGCTGCAAACATCCCACGAAAACCAGACCGTCAAAATCCAGGACGCGCTCGTCAAAAGACGTCGGCAAGCTCGAGCTCCGGCCTACTCGAGTCTTACGTTTTCCCCACACCAGACGCCCACGGGCCTCTCCCCACTCGGGGAGCGGAGGGCCAGGTCGGCGTGCCACCCTGGTCGGCGCGGCGTCACGGAGGCACCCCCCGAGATCCGAGGCTCTGAAAAAAAGATCGTGAAGGGGCCCAAGGACACAAAATTAAAACAGACAAGTCCCAGGATTCCCCATATTTCCTGATATTACTTGGACTTTCATCTGCCTCCTATTGCTATATGTTCTCGTAATTTCTGGGGGATCGACGATTAACGGTGTCTGGGTGTCTTTCCCCTCCTGAGATTGGAGCGGCTGGGTCTGGGCTATTTTCGGTCTCTGGGGACCCTCAATGGGCCTCGGGCGCGTCAATAAACGACCCAGGAGGAAAAACCGGCTCCAGGGAAGCTGTCCAGACCTGTGGGGTCCACGCATCGGAAAAATGGAGCGCCAAATGTGTGCTCACTCCCACGTCACCCTGACGCCCAAGAGGGCCTCAAGAGGCCAAGACCACTGAATCCCCTCAAGCGTTTTACTGACTCGGCGTTCTCGCCGTGTCGAACTTCCAACGCTCAACGAATGCAACGGAGGCCCCTCTGATATCGCTCCAAGACTGCCCAAGAGGACCCCACGAGGGCCTCAAGACGGCCCAAGAGGGCCCCGAGAGTGGGCCAAGAGAGGGGGGAGCAGCAGGACGCGTCGAAGAAATCCGCACACGAACGCCTGCCGGTGGTGAATGTCCCTGCGCCTGCCGAGAGGGCGGCGGATCACAGCGTCGCCATCTGTGGGTTGCGATGTGTGCACCGCCACCTAAGCCCTGAGGCCCAGGGACGATCCGATGAGGGAGGGGCCTGTGCTTCACTCTCGGTGGCAAAGGGGAGGTGGCGGTGGGGGGGGAGACTGACTGCCTACCAGACCACCCCAACCCAACCCGAAGACCCGAATTTTACCCGAATTTCGGGTGGGGGGAGAGGTGCGGGTCCCATGTGTCTTTTCAGTGTTCCCCGACCCCCCCCCCACTGGAAGTGGAGGGCAGATCGAGGCCTTCGGGTTGGGTTGGGGTGGTTTGGTAGGCGGTGGGAAACCGAGCCCCGCTATCGCCCGTGGCTTGGGCCGCCCAGGGTCTCTCTGCATGCCACGAGCATCGCCGCGACTGCGCCTACGGGACCTAAGGTCGCCCGGCCGGGCTGTGTGGCCGGGGACACGGTCAGCCGACCAGCCGACCTGCAGGCCGACCTGCCGCGACGTCCGCGGGCGGGGTGCGCGTGCGGTCCATCGCCGCCCGCGGGCTCCGGGGCACCAGCGCCCGGAAAAGGAAGCCGAGCCTAGGGCCCCACGACACTGCAGGAGGGCCTCGCGGCACTCTGGCATTGGGGGGAGGAGAGTCCTCCGGGAAGCGGGTCCTGGAGCCCAGGGCATGCCCCCAGGAGCCGCGCGCGATTCCGTCGGCGTGGTCGGCCCCGGGGCCCGCGGAAGACACCCCAGCGGCCCGACCAGTGGGGGAGCACGCAGGACCCGTTTCCCTCCGAACTCCCTTCCTGTATGGCGACTGTGCACATCTGTATGTATCCACTGCGCACGACGAAATCCATACGTATCCACTGCTCCTGGCCAGGCCCATCCTGGGTCCCAGAGCGGTGTATATGTCTTCCTGGCTAAGCCAGGAGGGCGTATACACAGCTCCTGGGCCCAGGATGGGCCTGGCCAGGAGCAGTGGATATGTTTAGATCTTGTCGCCCAGGACGTACGACCCAAGTTTGCGGGCCTCGAACTTACTGGATGGAGCCGTCTGAAAAATGATGGGACCTAGTCTAAAATCTGGCGCGAGCTCCCGCTACAAACATGTCACGAAAACTTGACCGTCAAAATTCACCCTGGGGCCGCCGAAGGGCGGCTGGAAGGCAGAGCTCCTGCAGACTCGGGTAGCACGCTTCCCTGCAGCATGCGCTCCGTTTTTTGGGGCGCCGTGCAAGGCCGCTGAGTCCCAGCTGCCACACGGTCGGACGACCAGTCAACGCGCCATGAACTCCTCGTAGGAACCCCCGAGCAGGTTCCACACGTCTCGCCTGAGCTCGTCGCGCGAGAGGCGCCAGCCGCTGCGCACGAGCCGCTCGTAGTAGAACAGCAAAGCGTTGCCGATCACCTCTCGCGAGTGGTCCCACTTGTACAGCAACTGCTCGAGCACGCGACAGTCGGAGTGCTGTGCGGTGAAGGCCGTACCGAGCAGCTCCACACGCATGCGCGTCAGCTCGTCGATGATGGACGGGTTGTTGCAGTACCACCAGCAGCCGTACAGGTGCAGGTTCCTGGTCTTCTGACAGACCACGGTCATCTCGTGCTGGTTGCTGCGGCTCAGCACCGTGGCGAGGAACTTCACGCGGGGAAACCTCGCGCAGAGCCGCTGCAGCGACCCGAGGTCCGAGCCGACCACCCCGTCGCCCCCGCAGCACGGGTCCAGCGCCGGCGCCATGCCACGCAGCGCGCCGAGCTTGAGCGCTATGGGCAGGGAGAGCTCCTCGCAGACGGGGGCGACGACCTCCTCCAGCAGCATGGTCGGGGTGGGCTTCGTGTAGGCCCGCACCTCAGAATCGTTCCACCAGTCCCCACCCCCACTGGCATGGCCTCTGCCCCTCTGACCGGCTTACCCCTCTGGAGCCCGTTTTTTTATTGTTCGCGATAGCGCCCGTGACAGGCCCCGCCCACCCACCCCTGCCCCCCTGGTCGCGTCACGATTCGCGCCAGCGCGGTGTGGTGGGAGATTAGCCATTTTAATCATTACCAGACGGCGCCAGCGCGAATGATGACGTGACCAGCCCCCTCCCCCCCCCTCCTCAATCCCCAGACCCCTCCCGGGTTCCATCTGGCGCATTTTTTTGTTGTTGACGCTCCCGGGGCCCGAAAACGGCCCCCCGAGACCGAAAACGGCAAAATACCTTATCGAACCCGGCACCTCGAATCTGCCCCCCCCCTGCGTGCTGGCCTGCGCCAGTGCTGGGCCAGCTCGGACCCCCTGCCAGCCCCAAGGCTGGAGGGGCTACGAGACCCTGGCCTGGTGGGGATGGGGACGGGTCGGACGCGTGCCGAGAGCACCAGCATCTTCGCATCGCCAGGCAGCGGCGCATCCCCGTCCGCGGCGCCCCGCTCGGGGAAGTGCCAGTCGCCGGGGGTTGAGGCCATCATGTACTCTGGCTTCAGGATGCCGGCCCACCTCCACGAGCGGCAGACGCATCCGCATCCGCACCCTCGCGGCCTGGACTCCGGGCAGCGATGCCGCGGATGCGCTGTCGCCCTGATGCGTTCCGCACGGGGCGTCCACGAAGAAACGGCCCACATCCGCAGGGTCGCGGCCCAAGGGGCCTGGCCGGCGGGGCCGCGGATACGGATATGTTTCTCGCCCACGACACCTCGTCCGGAAGTCGGCTTGACGCTGACTCGACGCTAATCGTCGCCAAATCAGCGCTTTCTCATCGCTGACCAGACGCTAGCGCACGCTAATGCCATCTGAAGACGCAATTGTGAGGGCATGTAAGGCTCCCACGAGTTGCTAGCGAAGCCCACCTCCTCAGGTACTCGCGCGCGCCCTCGAAGGTCGGCTCGAGCTCCTCGACGAGCAGCGCCGCGCAGACAGCGGGCCAGTCGCCCTTGAGGAAGGCGTCGATGCGGAGCGCGGTGCGGAAGCGACGAGTGACCGGCTTGGACGGCACGGCCCGCCAGTGCTCCGCCTCCGCGGGCACATAGGGGATGTTTGTCATGACGGCATACCTTTATGTCGGGCGCGTCCCCCTACAGGGAGATTTTCGACGCAAAAAAAAATACCCCCAAAAGGTCAAAAAATACTCCAAAAAAAATCCCCTGACTATTTTTGGATCATCTTTTGACTATTTTCGGGAGCATTTCTTATTTTTCGTCGAATCCCCCTGTAGGGGGGCAGGCCCGACTTGAGCATACCTCGGAGCGTGGCAGGCGAGGGCGAGCACTCCTGCTGATGCGTGCAGCTCTGCAGCGGGCCACGCGTGGGGCGCCCTCAGACCAAGCCCCCTGCACGGGGGACTGGCCATCGCTCGGACGTCCATTCCCTGTGCTGTTTTCGATTTCGTGCGTGGTTTCTTCGCCAAATGATCAGGGATGCTCCTCGATAGTCCTCGCCGAAGGAAAAGTGCACACGTCCGAGCGATGCCAAGTCAGACCAAGCCCCCTGCGCGGGGGAAGGATCGGTCGGCATCGCATCGGCAGATCCAAACGAATCGGAGGGTGCGCCGGATCGGGCCGCGTCGGCACGGAGGGAAGATCGGATCGGATCGGCCGCACCCGGCTGCACAGCAGCACGACGCGAGCGTCGGGCCGCGTCAGATCGGCAGAATCCCACCAGCCCTCAGGGCTGGTGGGTGCTTTCGCGGGCTTCCGCTTCCAATCCCCCTTCTTCCCCATCGGAGAGAGGTTTACCACTGCTCCCTAGTATTATACACCCCCTCCCCCAGGCGACCAGCCCAACCAGGAACAATGAGGACCCCATGAGGGCCTCCCCCCACCATACCTGTCAATAGCAACACAAAGTGCACTTTGGGACAAAGTCTGGAGTCATGTTCGTGATGCCAGCGACCACTTTGTATTGCTCTTATGACAGGGACGGCGGGGGTATCAGCATATTGCATGCTGCGCGCAGGGCGACCATCCCTGACAAAAAACAATACAACATGCACCTCGCGGCCAAATCTGGATCATGCGCGGCCACCCCGCGGTCACTGTCAAGTGGTGGCGTGTGGGCTGCTGAGCGCAAGCTCACCAGACACAATGATGTGCATTGGTTTTCGACATGGATGGTGAGGGCCGACATGTTTCCAGATGTGTGCTGTCACGTGCGCAGACGCACCTGCCACACTCTGCACGTGCCCCGAACGTGGCGCACCTGGCGCGGCTAGAGTATGCGGCACACCTAGCGCACGCGGAGGCACGTGGCGCATCTGGCGCACCAGGCGTGCCTGGCACGCTCGGACCCGAGGGGTGCCTGGCGCGCGTGGAGCGCCTGGCACGCGTGACGGGCGCACCTCACCCCAGCGTCGCGCACATGGGCTCGGTGTTGGTTCCCAGTAACTGTCCATCAACCGACGACCGCTGAACATGCTGAGGCTCGGGTGTTACTTATGTGTTGGGAGGGCGGGTGGGAGTGAACTAGACGTCTTGCTATCTAGAAGGGTGTGTTGGCCGCTCCCCTCACCCCGCCCCCTGAATCTGGCCAGGGCGCCCTGCGATCAATTAGAGCGTCCAAAAAGGCCTCGGCGAGAAGGCAAGCATCAGTGACGTTACTAAGGCTTTGGGCACATATTGGCCTCCTGGGGAGGAGACTGTGATCTACGACCCCCCCTTCATTCATCGATCTCCTTCAAGATGGCCCCCAAGGTCCCCAAGGATGCCCCAAGACGGCTGCAAGAGGGCCCCAAGAGGCGCCCAGGAAGCTCCAAGAGGCTCCAAGAGACCCTTAAGAGGCTCCCAAGAGACCCCGAAGAGCCCTTACAGGCTCTCCTGAGGTACCCAAGACACTCCACGAGGCCCCTGGGACCGCCGAGAGGCCCCCATGATGCCCCTACAGGACCCCAAGAAACAATCAACAGACATCCGAAGAGACTCCGATGGACATCCCAGAGGCCTCCGGCCATTCTCCTCGCCCTCCTCCTCCCATTCCTCCTCCTCCTCCTCCTCCTCCTCCTGCTACTCATCCTCCTCCTCCTCTTCCTCCTCCTCCTCCTCCCCCTCCTCCTCCTCCTCCTCCTCCTCCTCTTCCACATCCGCCTGTTCCTCCTCCGCCCTCCCTCCTCTCCCTGCCCCTCTCCCCCCTCCATCATCCTCCTCTTGGGGTACGACGGCTTCCCCAGCCCTTTGTTCCTCTGCATGCTCCTCCCTATCCCTGATCAGGAAACCTCGCCTGGCGCCTAGAATATCGGCATCGAATCGGATAGAGCTGGCCAGAATCGGGGTCGAATCGGATCGGTTGGACTGAAAGGGGCCCTGGGAAGTGGGTGCAACGCCCAGGCCAACAACCGCCAACATTCGCCCTCGTCCGAGCACCGCACCCCGGCCAGGCGGAAGATGCGCTCGCAGTGCTCCTCCGGGTCCTGGGCATCGAACCTCCGGGGAGCCAGGACCACGGCGAGGAGAGGACCGGCCTCCCACAGCTCCACTTCCACCTCCGCCCCATCCCGCACCCCCCTACTGAAGGAGGGCCAAATCTCCGCGATTACCCCCGAAATTTGGGCTGGCCTCAGAGCCAGGCTCGGATGCCAGTCAGGTCGCGGGCAGCCATCATGTCGCCCAGGCCGAGGCGCTTCAGCGTCGTGAGCACGCCCTGGCAGGCCTCGGAGATCGGGGAGCGCCTGATAAAGAGGCCCTGCCACACTTCATCCGCTTGCTCCCGCTTGGATAATCTGAAGAAGGCCTCATGCGTCATGGACGCAGGCGCGACCATGAAGTACTCGGACACGAGGTAGTGGTAGGTGAGGAGCTCGTCTATCCTGCAGCCAACATCCATCTCGCATGGGGTCAAACGCCGTGTACAGTCGGGGCGTTGACCCAAGGAGCGACAAGTAAGGAACGAGGCCCCTTTTTTCCATGAGTTAAACTTCGACTTCCGATCGAAAACCGAGGGAACACCCAGGGCAAACAGTAACAAAAACTACGGAACACGGAGCCCCTCCCAAACGAGGAAGGTTCCTTCTTCAGCGCCCCGACTGTACTTGAAAAGGGAGGAAGAGGAAACTCGCCCCGACACCCGACGCCGTCGAAGGCACACGGCGTCGCCAGAGAAGCGGGCCACAGCATCACGACAGGGCTTACCGAGACGGATTCGAATGTCAAGTCCTGGGGGCCCGAGACGGAGCAAGAAGCGCCCACTGCCATTCTCCACCACGCCATCACATCCGATGCGACGGCACGTCCGCTTGTTTCGACCCTCCCCCAAAGTCCCCCACAGCATCAGTCTGCCGTGCGATGCCGGGAGCAGGTGCGTGTGCACGTCGATAACCTCGACGGCCCTCACCTCCTCTGGCACGGGCGTCGCTGGTAAGCTCACGGTATAGGAAGGGCGGGCAGAGAAGGCGTCCCTACCCAGACTGGAGGAGGGGAAGGAAGAGGAGGAGGGGGAAGAGGAGAAGGAGGACGAGGGGGAGGAGGAGAAACAGGAGGAGGAGGAGGAGGAGGAGGAGGAGGAAGAGGGGGAAGAGGACGACGATGACGACGATGACGACGACGACGACGACGACGACGACGACAACGGAGGGTGTATCTCGGGGTCTTGGGGACTCTTGGGGAGTCTAAGCGCCCAGATGGTATGCAAGGGATCCAAGAGACTTTAGGAGAAAATGAAAGCAGCAGCAGCAGGGGGAAACGGAGAGGAGGAAGTGGAGGGACGGGGACGAGGAGGAGGACAACGGCGAGCTCGAGCAAACGTGAGAAGATGAGGAGGAGGGCGGGATCCGTGGGTGATGCCGTGCCAATGGCTGCCGGCCAAAAGCACAACAACATGCTCCCGCCCCTGGCCCACCTCCTCCCCTCCCCCCTCTCGCAGTGCCATCGGGCGTGCCATTCTGCGTTCGCGCGCCCGGACGCCACCGGGGGACCAGTTTCCGGAGGGGCGGGGGGGGGAAGAGGATGCCGTGCCCTGACAATGATGACAAGGAGACCTGGAGAAAGGAAGGGGGAGAAGGGAGCGGCCGAGTCGATCAAAATTTGAAGCTTCTGCTCACGACTTTGTATACTGCCCGTAACGATGTACTCGCGATACGAGCCACGGAGTGGGATCAGGTAGCCGCGTAACATGCACTGTAGCAGCGCCGTGGCGGCAGTCGTGTAGAGGGCTTGATCAAGCATTCCGACTTACGGTTGGCCGGTCTCACCTTGTTGTTGCATTTCCTGCGGATGAAGTATCGGCCGACGTCGTCCTCATTCCCGTGCCGCAGTGGAAAATGTCTGGGGCTCGACAGGGGGCGTCGGACTGCGGCACCGTGCACCTGGCCATGGGATTCATTTGAGTGAGTTTCTGTGGAACTCACGTCATCCTCACCCCCGGCGCGAAGAGCACGAGCCCAGAGCGGCCTCCGGCACCGTTTCCGGACGGATCCGCTGGATCCGCTGGATCCGCTGGATCCGGTGACGAATCCCAAACCGGCGCCCTCGCCTGAGACATCCTCACAAAACGGGCCCCGGGGGGGATGCCCAGAGGAGCCCAGAGCGGCCTCCGGCACCGTTTCCGGACGGATCCGCTGGATCCGCTGGATCCGCTGGATCCGGTGACGAATCCCAAACCGGCGCCCTCGCCTGAGACATCCTCACAAAACGGGCCCCGGGGGGGATGCCCAGAGGAGCCCAGAGCGGCCTCCGGCACCGTTTCCGGACGGATCCGCTGGATCCGCTGGATCCGGTGACGAATCCCAAACCGGCGCCCTCGCCTGAGACATCCTCACAAAACGGGCCCCGGGGGGGATGCCCAGAGGAGCCCAGAGCGGCCTCCGGCACCGTTTCCGGACGGATCCGCTGGATCCGCTGGATCCGCTGGATCCGGTGACGAATCCCAAACCGGCGCCCTCGCCTGAGACATCCTCACAAAACGGGCCCCGGGGGGGATGCCCAGAGGAGCCCAGAGCGGCCTCCGGCACCGTTTCCGGACGGATCCGCTGGATCCGCTGGATCCGCTGGATCCGGTGACGAATCCCAAACCGGCGCCCTCGCCTGAGACATCCTCACAAAACGGGCCCCGGGGGGGATGCCCAGAGGAGCCCAGAGCGGCCTCCGGCACCGTTTCCGGACGGATCCGCTGGATCCGCTGGATCCGCTGGATGGTGACGAATCCCAAACCGGCGCCCTCGCCTGAGACATCCTCACAAAACGGGCCCCGGGGGGGATGCCCAGAGGAGCCCAGAGCGGCCTCCGGCACCGTTTCCGGACGGATCCGCTGGATCCGCTGGATCCGGTGACGAATCCCAAACCGGCGCCCTCGCCTGAGACATCCTCACAAAACGGCCCCGGGGGGGATGCCCAGAGGAGCCCAGAGCGGCCTCCGGCACCGTTTCCGGACGGATCCGCTGGATCCGCTGGATCCGGTGACGAATCCCAAACCGGCGCCCTCGCCTGAGACATCCTCACAAAACGGGCCCCGGGGGGGATGCCCAGAGGAGCCCAGAGCGGCCTCCGGCACCGTTTCCGGACGGATCCGCCGCTGGATCCGCTGGATCCGCTGGATCCGGTGACGAATCCCAAACCGGCGCCCTCGCCTGAGACATCCTCACAAAACGGGCCCCGGGGGGGATGCCCAGAGGAGCCCAGAGCGGCCTCCGGCACCGTTTCCGGACGGATCCGCTGGATCCGCTGGATCCGGTGACGAATCCCAAACCGGCGCCCTCGCCTGAGACATCCTCACAAAACGGGCCCCGGGGGGGATGCCCAGAGGAGCCCAGAGCGGCCTCCGGCACCGTTTCCGGACGGATCCGCTGGATCCGCTGGATCCGGTGACGAATCCCAAACCGGCGCCCTCGCCTGAGACATCCTCACAAAACGGGCCCCGGGGGGGATGCCCAGAGGAGCCCAGAGCGGCCTCCGGCACCGTTTCCGGACGGATCCGCTGGATCCGCTGGATCCGCTGGATCCGGTGACGAATCCCAAACCGGCGCCCTCGCCTGAGACATCCTCACAAAACGGGCCCCGGGGGGGATGCCCAGAGGAGCCCAGAGCGGCCTCCCCAAATCCGGACGGAGATGCCTCCGCACCGTTTCCGGACGGATCCGCTGGATCCGCTGGATCCGCTGGATCCGGTGACGAATCCCAAACCGGCGCCCTCGCCTGAGACATCCTCACAAAACGGGCCCCGGGGGGGATGCCCAGAGGAGCCCAGAGCGGCCTCCGGCACCGTTTCCGGACGGATCCGCTGGATCCGCTGGATCCGGTGACGAATCCCAAACCGGCGCCCTCGCCTGAGACATCCTCACAAAACGGGCCCCGGGGGGGATGCCCAGAGGAGCCCAGAGCGGCCTCCGGCACCGTTTCCGGACGGACGACCTGACTGCATAACACGCCTGGATATGCCGACGGGGGCGAAGGAGGAGGAGGAGGAGGAGGAGGAGGAGGAGGAGGAGGAGGAGGAGGAGGAGGAGGAGGAGGAGGAGGAGGAGGGGGAGGGGGCAGGCGAGGGAGCCCCGGCCCTGGGGGAGGGGCCCTGAGGGAGCCCTGATGGGCTTCCGGCACCATGGAGAGGTCCTGTGGGGCGGCCGCCCCTTCTTCTCTCGGTCGTTTCCCTCTCGCCCAGAAGCGCGCGCCCCTTCTTCTATATATACAGAAACTCCCGATCAACCGCAGAGCGGCGGATGTTAGCGTCTGCTCGCGTGGATCCAGCACAACGCAAGTCGCAATAATCAGTGACCTGCTCGCCCTGGACTGCGAAACCGGCAGCGCACGGTATTTTCTTCCCTGGAAGGTCTTCTCGTGGCCCATGCAGCTCAGCTCGATGCTCTGGTAGCTCTGCGGGAGGCTCTCGTAGTTTTGCTTGCCGCCCGCGTCGCTCACGTCGTGGCCCTCGTAGCACCAGTCGGCCCCTCGTAGCTGATCTGGTCTCTCTCGAAACCCTGCCCGTAGCCTGGACAGTTCATCTCGCCGTTCAAATAATTATCCTGGGGAGCTCTAGCAATTCTTCCTGTGGCCCGCGTAGCTCAGATTGTGCCCCTCGCAGCGCAGCATGTGACCATCGTAGCTGCACTGGCGGCGGTGGCTCTCAAAGCCTTTCAATTCAGCCCGTCGCCCTGGCAGCTCTGAAGAAGGCTCTCGTAATTTTGATTGTGGCCCGCGTCGCCCACACTGTGGCCCTCAAAGCTCCACAAGCGGCCCTCGAAGCTGATCTGGTGTCTTTCGAAACTCCGCTCGTGGCCTTTGCAGTCCATCGCGTCGTCCAAGTAACTCTGCTGGAGCCTCCCGCCGTCTTGCTCGTGGCCCACGTAGCTCAGGTTGTGGCCCCCTAGATCAGCGGGTGACTTTTGTAGCTGGGCTGGTGTCTCTCGAAGGTCTGCTCGTGGCCCTTGCAGTTCAGCTCTTCGCGCAGGTAGCTCCGCTGGTGGCTGTTGCAGCTGTATATGTGGCCCTCGTTGCTCAGCTGGTGGTCCTAAACGGTCCGCTGGTGGCCCTGGTATCGCTGCTGGTGGCTGTAGAGGGTCTGCTTGTTGCCCGCGAAGCTCAGCTGGTGCCTCTGGTAGCTCAGCTGGTGGTCCTCATAGCTCTGCGCGTGGTCGTCGTAGCTCAGCTGGTGGCCCCGTGGTTCAGCCAGTTGTCTGTCCTCGTAGCCCTCGTGGCTCAGCTGGTGGTCCTCGTAGCCCTGGTTGTGGCCCTCGTAGCTAAGCTCGCGGTCCTCGTAGCTCTGGCGGTGGCTCTCGCAGCTGCGCCCGTGGCACTCGTAGCTTCGGTTGCGGCCCTGGAAGGTAGCTGCACTGGTAGCTTTCGTAGCTGAGCAGGTGGCCCTAGAAGCTCTGCTCGCGGCCCTCGTGGCTCAGCATGTTGTCCACGGAGCTGCGCAAATGGCCCTCGCAGCTGACACAGTTGCCCTCGAAGCTCTGCTGGGGGCCCGTCGTAGCTGAAGTCGTGGCTCTCATAGCTCAGGTCTGCCACCGTAGTCCAGCAAATTGCTCTCGAAGCCCTGGTGGCCCGCGTGGCTTTGCGGGTGGTCTTTGTAACTGTGTTGGTGTCTCTCGTAACTCTGCTGGTTGTCCTTGTAGGTCCACAGGTGGCCGTCCTAGTTATGCGCGTGGTCCAGTATTCTGGATGCCCGTAAAGCTACGCGAGTGCCCAGCGTAGTTCTGGTCTCGGCCCCGAAGCTCGGCTGGTAGTCCACATAGTTCTTTTTGGCCGGCGCAACTCTGCCGTTCCCTCGTAGCGCTGAAGGCAGCGTTCGACGCTGAGCTCGTGATCCTCGTAGTTTTGGCTGTAGCCGCGGTTATCATG